GATGAAGGGGCCGCCTGATCGGATGTATACTATGGGAGGAGGCGATGGAGGATGCAGGATGCATCCACGTAGATTAGAAAGATGATCGGGCCAGCTGAGGATGAAGAGGCCGCCCGATCATCCAAGATATCATGACATCAGCAGTCGGGAGATTGCTAATTTTTCGGAACCCCCTGCGTATCACAGATGTGATAAGCTCAGATCCGTACCGTGCGGCTTGTCGTATCCCTGAGGAAAAAACCCGCGGAATTCCCGAAGGACGGATGGGGAAAGAAAGGGGTTTTCTTTCTTTTTGCTTTTGTTTTCTTTTTGAAACAGCTCTTTCATTTTTTTTGGTTAATAACTTCCGCGGGCGAATAGCGGCCGCGGTATGAAAACCAAGAAACAAGTGCGGTTGGGACTTTTGAATTTTTGCGCGCGCGCGCCTAAGCTCCGATTTCTTCGCACGTCTTGCATCCCCGTTTCTTGCTTTGCATCCTCGCGCCAACTTCCCTCCCTGCTGCGCGCATTTTCCCCATGAATTAAAAATCCAATACAGAAAATAAACATTATGATAAAAAAAAAAAAAAAAAAAAAAGAATTAATATGAGTGAGTGTGCCAACACTTTTTCGACACCGCCATCTTTGCCGATTTTTAATTATTTTTTGGCATTGGCAAATGCCCTGGAAATTTAAAGATATGTAGTTTACATAATCAATAACTCATTAAAAAGTTTTCAAAAAATAATAAATATTTTTAGGCCCGGAAATAAAGTGAAAAGAAAAAGTTAAAAGTGAAAAAAAACAAAATAGTGAGTGGGCGAGCACGTTTTGACACCCCCATCTTTGACGATTTTTAATGTTTTTTTTTGCTTAGCAGAATCGCTTCAAAATTTATTGGCGTGTAGGTTACATCATAGAGAACTCAGACAAAACAATGCAGAAAAAAAACCTTATTTTTAGGCCCCGAAATATTTTTTGGCGGGGGCCGAACCTGGAGGTGTTCGACCCCTGAACGGGACCCCGAACGCTCGAACGTTCGGGGGCCAGCCCGGGGGCCCACGGACGTTCGGTCAGGTAACCCTGTGTATATATATATATATATCTATATATATTCCCATTAGTTTGTCAAGGAATAATACCCCAATATCGTGGCCGCCCCCCGGCCACGAGAATCACCCCGCGGGCGAGGCCGAAGGTGATATATAGCCGCCAACATAGTAAGCGTGGCGACACATATGTGAGAAACTTGCTTGAAATAGATGCCAAAAATAACAGAGTTTCATATATCGATCGCCATACAAGCTATAATCAAGTTATACTATGTACGGTGAGCTCCTCCATCTGAGTCCCTCGCCCCTATGCACAAACATAAAGACCCGGAGAGAGCGAAGCAAGTTCAAGCAACTGCCAATTCCCTACTAGTTTCAGGCATCACTTGTATGCAACCTCATCAGGGGGATTTCGAGATGTTTGGTAAGTAACCTCGTAACCTAGAACTTATACACTTTCAATCATTACGTATGTAGGATATTCCTCATGTCCCTTTACTCTCTGGTCCTGGTCCTCATTGTTCCTCAAGCTAAAATCTCGTTCCCGAGTCTAAGGTTAGCCAAGCGATATAGGGTTAATATCCAAACACGCCTAGTAATCATTCCTTGGAGTTTTTTTTTTTTTTTTTTCCAGATGAAGGCTTAATGGGCTATGTGTCAGTACTGTTGCCCCCTACAACGGCCTGATGTGTAAAGAGTTAACTAACTGTGACTAGAGAGACATGCTGGCCTAAAAATGTCTAAAGCGCTTGTTTTTTCAACTGATCAAAGATGATCAATTAAGACAGAATAACCATGTTGACAGTTGAATTTTGCCCTTTGGTCCAATTGAGGCCCATTTGTTAGCAGAATCCCGGGTTCGCAGGAATTAAGACAGACCCTTTATATTTGCAAATCTCCGTTGAGTCCAGTCTGCTGTGATGGTTAGTCTGAGTTTTGCCTTAAAAAGGGCCTTGTGTTGGGCGATCGAGAGAACCTTGTCCCTAAATACCTTCGTGTTCCGAGTTGTCCATATCACCTCCACGAGTGCGCCCCAACAGCCCACGGCGACATATCTCGTACCTGAGAGGAAATTGACCTCTCTAGGTAATAGGCCCGTAAGCCACCAGTTCTCTGACCACTTCATTCCTTCGCCATAAAGACCTGCTCATTATTTCTTCCACCATTTCAGAATCTCATCTTCCAGTCGGTAGAAAGCCACAAATGAGCATGACTCTCCATCCCAAGTCGCTGCGTCAGCATATGGTAGAGACATCCATGCCCTTGGCTGCCAGCCACACTGCAATTGGAGTAGTGAGAAGATATTGCAGCCAAATAATAGAAGCTTGCTTCTGCGATGGCATGTTCTTTAGGGATGACCATAGCATGAGTAATTTATCCTCTGTCATCCCGTCTAACGGATGCTGATCTGCCCTCTTCAAGGCCCGGGATGTCGGTTTCCTTGTTGTTTCTGCACGTTGAATCTTCACTCCTATCTTGGACTTATACTGAAAGATTGAAGTGAAAGAGAAGTTGGAATTAAGGTTCTTCGAACGATACAGAAGAGGTTCCACCTGGCAGGTGTCTGCATTTCTTCCAGGTATGTTGTGTCTTTTGCTTTCTCATCCTACGAGCGTGAGACCCGCACTTCCTGTAATCCTATTGTGGAGGTCACATGTTTCTCGCCTCTCATATGTAACCGTCCCGATTGTTGATAAAGCAGTAGGAGAGACAATGTATGTACTGTCTATCCTCTATTCTGGTCCGTACCTAAGACCCTCCAGATTTCGTTAGACTGCTCAGGCGACCTAATCCAGGTATCATTGGATTTCTTTGCTTCGCTATGAAGCAGGTAGTCCGAATCCGGGTATCCTTGTCAGACAGGTTGTGCGGCCTAGTAAACTTCCTTCTCAGAGTTGCTACTTCCAACCAGTCTGAGGTAAGTGGGTCCCATACTTCTTTCACTTGGATAATTCTCTTCTTTACCCAAGCTGCCGAAGTTGGATTCCCCCCCGATAGATCACAATGGTGTCTATTTTGCTATAAGATATAGGGCCCATAATAGGGGTTATCAAACAAGAGCTGATTGAGGCATTCCGTTTCGGTTCAGGGCTGCTTCCACTCGGTAGGTTGGAGCTTGTTCTAGGCAAAGAGGATACTGCGCCAGATTCTTGAATGGGGGCGGCGGGCAGTGAAAAAGGGCATCATGAGGCAAAGTCACACATGGAACTGGACATCCAACCCCCATTCGCTACTCATGATATACTCTGCCATTTGCATCCATAACTTTGTGTTTTCTCCCACCATCGCCTGAAATGGCCATTTGGTAAGGAGTGCTAGATTTCAGTGGACAGGGTCCAAAATTCCCAACTCGTCTTGGCTTCGAGGTCTCGTGATAGCCTCCCAGACTCTTTTGAAAATGAATCCCTGCTCTTCTGTCGCTGACGATTTCCACAGATAGTGTACCGCTGCTCTCTTAATCTTTTTGTAGGCTTCATCTTCGAGAAGGTACACCGCCAGCGGAAACCATAAGGTAGAGAAGGCTGTTGCGGATAACACGAGGGCTCGTCCAAACAGGGAGAGAGAGTGACTAATCTCCCATCCTGCAATTCTTTTGATTGCTTTTGAGACCAATATGATGTCTTGCGTCATCAAACAGTTTGAGAGGGAGACTTGTATTCCTAGAAACCCGTAAGAAGTGTTAGCAGGGATACAGCGAAGACTCCAATCCACACACAACTCATATTAGGGGGGGGGGGGCGGGGGGGGGGATATGATTTATCCCAATTTATTGAGGTTTCTGACAATTCACATTATGTATCTAAGACTCTACACAATTCCAATAGACAAGCAGGAGTGTTCACACATGTCACGGTCAACTTATCAACCAGAGCTCTGAGGGGGGCTATAAATTTAAGACCCTTTATGCTATTGTTCAGTTTTATATTGTCCAATAAGACTTCCAATTGTAGTACGAAGATCAAAGGGGTTAGGGGACAGCCCTGCCTCAAGGAGCATGTAAGACAAAAAATTTTTTAGAGTTTGTCATTGACCAAGACAGAGGCAGTGACATTCAAATACAGGACTTTGATCCAAGTGCAGATTTTTGGACTGAAACCCAATCTTTGCAAGGTGGTATTTACAAAGGTCCATCCTACCTTACCATCGGCCTTTTCCATGTCCAGCATCAGGATGGTCATGTCCCCTGTTTCTTTATCAATGATCTCAAGGGTCTGGAGCCTGAACAGTAGTTAGAACATTTTTGAAGATAGACCTTGCTTTGATGAAGGCGCCCTGTTCCACCTCGACCAGCTCCAGCAGGAGATCCGCTAATCTAATTGCAAGGATTTTACCAGAAGCTTATTAGTTAC